TTGGGCCAATTCCCTTCCTAAAGACAGACATTACCTCACCCAAACAACTCATCTCTTCATTACTGAGAGCCAAAGAAACATTGAACTCTTACAAATATGCATAAGTTTTTTCAACCATCAGAAAAAAAGCAGGACAGGAATAATCAAAATGAAAATGATTACAGTTGACCCTAGAACAAAGTGGAGGTTGGGGGTGCCAACACCTAGTCCAGCTGAAAATTCACGTATAACATTTGACTCCCCCAAAACTTAACTATGAATAGCCTACTGTTGGCCGGAAGCCTTACTGATAGCTGTAAACATTGGATTAACACATATTTTGTATGTCCTAGCTATTATATGCTGTATTCTTACAGTAAACTAGGCTAGAGAAAAGAAAATGCCATTAAAAATCATAAGGAAGATAAAATATTTTTACTATTCATGAAGGGGAAGTGGATCATCATGACGGTCTTCATCTTCATTGTCTTCACACTGAGTAGCCTGGGAGGAGGAGGAAGGGGAGGGGTTGTTGCTGTCTCAGGGGTGGCAGAGGCAGAAGAGGTGGAGGAGGTGGAAGGGGAGGCAGGTGTAACTTTTATTGAAAAAACATTCTTGTATGAGTGCACCTGCGTAGTTCAAACCCATGTTGTTCAAGGATCAAGTATAATAACTCTCAGGAGATGGTTTCTGCATGTAATAAAACATGATTAATGAGTGATCTGTGCTAATCATGAAATGTCAGTGTTAAGATTCCAAAGGGAACAAAGGGACTGGCCATTCACTTTTCAACAACAGACAGGAATGTCCATGCCTATAGTGGAGGTGACTGCTGAACGTCTTTCCTCCTGAGCACTTTTCCTGCCAAGTCTAGGTCAACCTTAAGAATCCTCCTCATAGGCAATTAGGGCAATTTTCCTGGCCAGCCTCTCTTCAATGCTCACCTCTGCTCCTCCCTGCTTCTCATGGGGTGACCATGCATTCAGTGAGCCTGTCCTGCCCTTCTGCCTACAACAGCGAGGCTGCTGTGTTGTTCCCATGGAATGGTGAATGGACCATGGGGTCTTGTCCTCTAACATGGATTATCAGCCTCACCAAAGTTGGGAGCATCAGATTCTCAGTCCAGGAATCTAGACTTGGAGAAGGAGACCATAGTTAGTTGATGTGGGATACTTGAAATGGGAGAGCCAGGGAGAGCTGGGCTTAGGCAATGCTTTTTTTTTTTTTTTAACCATGGACATGTCCAGGCAGACAATGCTAGCCTGTTGGCCCTGAGGGGCAGTGCAAATTGCTCCCCTGACAGCTGCCTCAATGCATAAAGGACTGTTTCTCTCATGTGACAGGCAGCCCAGAGGTAGGTGGTTGCTGGCTCTGGTGAACAGCTCAGGGGCACCATTAAGGACCTAGGCTCTTCTGGGTGTGTTTTTTAGACATTAAGGTGTATTCCTGTGGTTTTAAGATGCTGCTGCTCCATGCTTAACTCTTGGGTTCCAGGCAGAAGAAGGGGCAGCGCTAGTCCCATTTGTCCCTTTTATCAGAAATGCAAAAACTTTCCTAAAGGTCAAAATAATCTCTATATTTCTGTTTTTATCTTGTGCCAAAATACTGCTTATGGCTGTGTTAGCTTTGACAGCTGGATGAGTAACACTGATCTTTTCCAGCTCTCCAGGGGAGGGCAGCAAAAGAGAAGAAGGGGCCAGCCCAGCAGCGTGTGCCATGTGAGCACGGAGGGGTGCAGAGACAGGACAGTGTGAGGCACCAGGAGGCAAAGGGTGACTCTGCCCCTGTGTTGCCAGGTCTTTGTTCCAGTCCCTGTGAGGCCTGGCTGTACTTCCTGAGTCTGAGTTCCATAAGGTATCCCCAAATCCTTCCAATGTATCCCTCCCTCATCCTCTGCCAGTTTTGGCGGATGTCTGTTTCCTGTAGCTGCATGATCTCTAAGGTGCTTTTCCTGTGGTGAACAAACTAGTCCACATTGCCTAACTTTACTGTCTCCACTGTCCCACCTGAATTAAAACCAGAGCTTTCCACCATGACAGAACAACTTCCCTTGCAACCCTTTTCTGAGTTGGCAGTGTCTTCTGTGCTCTCCTGGACTTATGGGCAAGAAGGGGATCAGCTACTTCCCACCCTGCTTTGCCCTTTTCAGACTATTCTTTCTTTGCTAAAAAATTTATTTTTATTTTCTGTTTTCGTGGGTACATAACAGGTGTATATATTTGTGGCTATTCTTTCTTGATCACTCAGTAACCCTGATGTCCATCCCGGATCATCGTCCCCTTGTTTAACAATCCCTGGGCACCACATTCTTCCCTCTTAGCCTGTTTCTTGTCCTTCTCTATCACCCTAATCCCTCAATTATAATCTTATTAATCTAAATCCTGGTGCAAATCCCCTTCCTCCAAGAAGCCATCTCTGGTCAGTCCCATCTAATGGCACTTGTTCCTCCTCGCAGCCCAAGGCATGCGGTGGCTCTTCTGCAGCAGTGCTTTATAGTGGTCATTCGTTACACTTCCTCTCTCCCCTCCTAGATGATAACGCCTGTGCAGGCTGGCTCACTGTATTTCACCCTTGTTTTGTCACCGCACTTGGCACCTGGCAGCCTTTCAGGAGATCTCTGTGGAAGGAGTTGAAACAGTATGGGACTGGGAAAAAGCACTGGACTAGAAGTAGGGTTTGCTTCTGGTTTGAACTGCCAGGCACACTGTGGGCTCCCTGCCAGCATCATGCGCTTCTTCTTCCATGCTGGCAGAGCCTGCTTTTGTTGAGATAAATGCCCTCCACGTGGGCCAGTGTTCCAATGGAAGTGAGCCTCATCCCCAATGCCAGGGTTGGGTGTGGGTTCTGGTTGGTCTAACCCAGTGCTTCTCAACCGAGGGCTGTTTTGTCCTCCAGGGGGTATCAGTCAATGTCTGGCAACATCTTTTATCATCACGACTAGGTGGGATACTACTGCCATCTAGTGGGGGGAGCCCAGTGATGCTGCTGAAACACCAGCGCACAGGAGAGGCCGCCCTCCACCTCCTAACAAAGAATTATCTAGCCCAAAATATCAGTGGCGCTGAGAAACCTGATTAAATTAATCATGGTGGTCCCACTCCAATAACTGGCTTCAGTACGATGAGAAAGTCGGTCTGGTTGGCAGCTGGGTTGGAAGGTGGGGTGGGAGAACTGAGAACTGAAACAAATACATCAATCAAAGCAGGCTTCACCATCACTTGAAAACAGAAAAACTGTACTGAACCTGTGCTATGCAGCACAAATGATCTAGCTCAGACCACTGTAACACCAACTACCTACGTGCTTCATGATACGCCCATGAGCTGACCTCCTGGTAACTCCGAATGGACTTACATATCCCAGAGATAAGGTCGCTGGTTCCTCCAGTGACTCCCCTTGTTAACAGATTCTGACCAATCCCCAGCAAGACTATCTATGGACTAACTCCAGCCCCCAAACCCCACAAGGACTCTCCCATGACTCCCCCATTTTGAGGAGCCTCACAGGTCCTCTGGTACATTTCTTTGCTGCAGCAAGTTCAGTAAACCCAACCTACTGCCATTATTTTTCTTATGAATGTGTCCCTGGGTGTTTGCAGTGCATGGGCTTTAACACTGGGCATGGAACACAAATAGCTCCAATGCAATGGGTTCAAATGTTACGGCTGGGGCATGTTTAAAGTGCCTTGAAGACAAAGAGGAAGATGTTCTGCTTGGGAAACCGGGAGAAGAATTTTCAGCAAGGATACTTGAAGTGGGTCCTGAATGATAAAAATAATTGGCCAAGTGGAAGTGAAGAAGAGTGTATCACAGCAAGAAGGAACCTCAAGGACAAAGACAGCCAGGCATGAGATTAGACATGGTAAGTCATCCTGAGTGTCTGAAATGGGGGTTGCAGAGCAAGGACAGTCCAGACAGGCAAGAAGGTGTCAGACCATACAGCACTTTGTTAACACTATCCCTGATTTAATGGCTGTACTGGCTATTCTCAATGACGCAGAATGAAGTAAAATGTTGCCGAGACTTGAATTATTACCTGGGATCTCTGGAGAACTGGATTTGCACAGCTCTCCACTTCCCTCAAGCTGGTTCTTCAGCTCTTTGAATGAATAAATAAAAAACATTCACATGGAATTCTAGTGCCATCTAGCACTTAAAAAGGTAATGGCATGTTTCTATCAGGAATGCCTCCAAGAGGAAATTATTTCTGTTAGTAACACTGCATTTTGAACGTGGCTTTTCCAGACATGATTCCTCGTGCCACTGGTAACAGGCTTTGATTTCTTCTGCCTGGAAATGCTCCCTGTCACTTCCTCCAGATTCGATTTCTCTTTCAATCCCTTTGCCTGTCAAATGCTCTCACAAGATCCAATTCTTCCCCTTTCAAGCAATTATTACGTTTGATAATTTTACATGTCTATTTTATGACGATGGTCTGATTGAAGTCATCTTTCCCACTAGCTTAATTTCCATAAGCCTAATTGCCTTGTCTGTGATTTGCCCACCATCATCTCCCAGCACCTGGGAACATTTCTGGTTCATGCAATACTGTTGAAAGAACGATGCCACTCTATGCTTTCTTAAACTTTGTTAGTGATAATTTCTACTTCTACCTGGCCTTTGCTTAAGGGTAACCCTTAATACACTTTATCAAAACTTAATAAACTTTATCAAATGTCTGTTGTAATGGTCACAAAAATATTTAATACTCAACATCTGACCTTAACCAGAGGGAAACATTTTCTAGCCCGTTTTCCCCTTAACCAGATGAGTCGGGGAAGGACGTAATTTTCAGGCAGAGGTGACTTCGTTCCAAGGGTGTGAATGCATTATTTTTGACGCTGCCCGTAAGAGCAGGGTCGCTGACATTTCATAAACAGCGCCATCCTCTCTAACGATAAAAGCGGCCAACATCTCGGGCCAGCAACTCCCAAGTGCGTCATGAGCATTCCCGTCCTCAGAAACGTAAGACGAAGGCGGCATGCGCAGGGACTGAGCTAGGCGAGCCCAAGGTGGAACCACTCGTGTTCTGGGCTCCGGAGTCCGACACGGGCGGGGACCTCAGCAGCTCCCGGTGCTCGCTCCGAGCGGTTTCCGAGCGCCGCTCCCAGGCGCTCAAAATTCGCCTCCGAGCGCCGAAGAGCGACGCGCTGGAGACCGCCCGCCCATGAGGCCGGAAGGGGCGGGACAACGCTGCGGATTGGTCCCTGGGCTCAACGTCATTTCCGCGCGCCGGGGAGGGCGGGCCTGGAGCGTGAGCCGTTGCTGCTCACTGCGGGGTGGTGGCTGCTGGGCAGGCTGGCGCTCTTACCATGAGCGAGGCGGACGGGCTGCGACAGCGCCGGCCTCTGCGGCCGCAGGTCGTTACGGACGATGATGGCCAGGCCCCGGAGGCTAAGGACGGCAGGTAGGCCGGACTCCCAGACCGGGCGCTGGAGCCGAGCCGCGAGGAGTAGAGGGCGATCCTCCTGGACAGCGGCGACGGCAGTAACAGTAACCTGGGGATGTGGTGCAGAGCGCCTTGTCCGAGCCTTCTCGTTTCATCCCCAAGAAAAACTCATTTTTCCGAGGAGGAAGCAGACTCCGACAAGGCGGATGTACCTGCCAGGTCTTTGAGGTTCGGGTGCACCCAGCGCCCAGTCGCGGCGTTATCCTCGGCTCTCCGGGACCCTAGACCGTCTCGCGCTGCTCCTGCGCCTTCCCTCCCCTCACTCCTGCCCCACCCTGCAGCGCGGTTGCTTCCTCGCCTTTCCCTCGCTCCCCTCGCGCTGTCATTCCTTTGGCTCATCTGATCCCCCTGGGCACAGCTACCTGGCCAGTGTCTTGCGTCCTCCTGGTCCCCCGCTCGCACTTTCTCGAAGGGAGGAGGTCCCACGAGATGCTGGGGTCCTGCCTCGTTATCCGGCGAAGAGATGGCTTCTACACTTGCTCTTCTGCACCTGCCCCCCTCACGCTGCGTGACCAGTCCTCACCGCGGTTCTTGGAAAGAGTGGAGAACAGAAGTGACATTGTAGGCAATTTTTGTGAGAATTCAGCCTTGCAGTTTTTCCCGATAGGGATGGAGAAACATAGGAAACTGTAGTTGTTGACACCTCAGAAATACCAGGTTTTGTCCTTTAGCCTCCTCTACCATCTTCTAGAATATAAGAATGCTATGTTTTGTTAGCTAAAAACTGAATCATGATCCGCAAATATAGATTTCAATGTAAGATACTTAAAATTCGCTTTTCAGTTATGTGTCCTGAATTTCATAACTTTTAAGTTTCAGGGAGAATCAAGAGGCCCCACAGACCAAGCTTGAAGCTGTGGAACAGATTGACTTATATTTGATAGAAGTACTGGAAATATTTGTTCAGTAATGTGCCGAGAGGTGGTGGGGTACATATGAATGAGAGACAGTTTTTGCCCCTGTAGACTGAGTTTATTGACTGATGATGAGAGGAACACATTTAAAGGAGAACGATGGCAGGGAGGAGCATTTAGGCTCTAGAGAAGCAATTTAGAGAGAAGACTTTGCGGTGATAGTTGACCTTGGGCCAGTGAAAAGATCGGGAAGATGCTCCCATATATCCTGATCAACCATCCTGGGTTGCCCTGGACTGGGGTTTCCAAGGATGTAGAACTTTAAGTGCTAAACCTGGGCAAACTGGGACAATTTGGTCACCCTACTTACTGTGAATTAATCATCTGTTGATGGTTGAGGAGCCATTTAGAATGGACATGCAAGAATTGGCAACACTTTCCTACGGAAATCTTGAAGACAAGCCATTTGTACCTGAGAAATGAAAGAGCAGTGGCCTGAGTTTGTCATTAGGTGCAGTGCGTTGAAAACCAGGGCATACAGCCCCTGAGAGCACTGGTTAGGTGGTCCCAACTCTCAAGTCTGCTGGCTCACACCTCTGGCCCCAGGGCAGAGCAGTAGACTTAATTGTTTTTTTCAGGTTCTCTGTGGGGATTTCTTCCTTAATGACTAAGTAAATCTGATTCTAAAGTCATCTTTTACTGCTTGATCTTTTCCAGTGTGCCTTTTACATTTATGTTATTTCCTTGACTTCCCTGTCCATGAACGTTGTTCCTGGTTCCCTGTGTTTGTCCTTGTTTGTTTATCCCTTTTCTGTATATTTGTAATGATCTCTTTCAAAGTGAGGTCTTGTCACCACCCTTCCTTTCTGCGGTTATTATTGTAATATGTAGCTGTTTTTCTTATTTTTCTTCTGCAGCTCTCCTATATTTTTCATTTCTTTTGTGGTCATTTCTAGTAGTTCATGTAATAGTATTCTTGATTACCTTAAAACTCAAGGGTTCAACATAAGCCAGGGAAGCCTGTGTATAGTGGGTGAAGTAAAGGAATCTAAATTCAGAAGTAAAAATACGAAACTGTTAGAATAAACTTTAGCACTTTAGATGTGCTCCATAGAATAAAGGAAGCCTTGAAAGACATGTTACTAAACTGACAGAACTAAGACATAGATTTTAGCAGTGGTAGGGACCCCTAGCAATACGTTGGCTGGTCTCCCAACTCTTGGCGTGAAAAGTGGGTGTTTGCTTTGTTTTGCCGATGAGATCATTGAGGTCTGTGTGTGCGAGTTAATTTATATGAAGTTACAGAGAATAGAGTCAAAAGAGAAATGAATGAAGAAGGATAGAACCGGCAGCTGGACAATGATTGAGAAGTGTATTTTTTAAATTATGCTTTGGAAATAAGATTTTATGCCAAAGCTCTTGAATTACTGTATTTAAGATATAATGGAGAATTTGATTGGTAAATTCTTTTATTCAGTGTGGAACATAGATGAGCTAAGCACTTTAACATACCAGTGCAAGCTTATAATTATTATTTGACATTGATTTCCCGAAATGCTTTAGAAACTTAATTGTATTCTGTGGAACTGTTCCTTTCTCTTTGGAACACAGTTCTATCTAGGAAGAGAACTGTTTAATGTCCGTATATGACTCTTTAGGGATGCAGAATAAATACATTGAGGATTTAATATATTTCAGTACATTAAATTCCATATAATTCTGCTTTTACAATAAACTGAAGGATTTTAGTCTAATTAAAAGTCTCTGCTAGGTCCATTTTCCTTTTTCCTCTTGAAGACTGAAAAGTAAGGGAGGAAGTATGGAGAAACAGATGGGGCATTCAGGAGTTCATGAGGAGTCAGGCAGCTGGAGTGTTTGTCTCAGCTTTGCCCCAGGTGTGTATTTTCAGATAGCTTTTTAAACTTGTTTTTTGATTTCTTAATTTTTTTTCAAGGATAAAGTGATGAATCTAGGAGCCCCAGTTTAAAGGATTGTGAAAAATGAACAAATTCAAGATGCTGTCACTAAAAAAGATGAGTTGATGCTGTTTGGCTTTCTCAGGCTTCAGGGATCACCTTGACACTTGAGATTGCTGGTATCTCATGGATTTGGGGCTATCAGGTTTTCCACAACAATCACAGGTAAATTTTGATCTCTTGGAGTCTGCTTGTTGGACTTCAGTTCAGGACCCAAGGCCCTGATGTCCTGTGTGCAGAGTTAGAGCATACCCTTCAAAATCTGCCAAATTGGCTGGTGAATCTACAGAAGATTGTGTAAATCGTGGCCCAGCCAACAGCAGTTGTCAAATCCTGTTGCATCACTGTGGTTGTGCTCTTGCCTTTAGAGAGTGTAGGCAATTTCAGGGTGCAGATGTCCTCATGGAGATGGGCATCCCTCCAGGCTCTTCCGAGAGATTGGGGCAAACAAACTGATTTTTCAGACTGCACCTGGGAAATAAGTTGCCAGCTTTCCTGGATGTGTCAGCACAGGTTGGGAACCTGCAGTGCTTTGTCAGTGAAAATGGATAGGGATCTATACAGTGTCCTTTATTTAAGTTAAAAAAAGAGTAAGAGGGAGGCAGACACCAAGAAAAGACAGAAGAATTGTAGTTAACTGTGAGTTTACAGGAAGCAACACTGACGAGGGCCTGCCAAAAAGTTAACGAACTTTGGGCTAAAATAAGTGTGGCACCCAGAGCAGGGGTCCAGGAGCTGGGCTTACCTCGTTTATATAAGAAGCTAACTCCATTTCAAGTGCTCAGGAAGCACACATGGCTAGTAGCTATTGTATTTCCATCATTGCAGAAAGTTCTATTGGACAGTGCTGCTCAAGGAGTTTTGTTTAAATTTAAGCTAGTATTTCTACTATGTGAGCACAGAACGTTCCAGTGGAGGCTGGATGCTGATCGGGTGAGGTTGGGGAGATGTTGGTGAAGTTTTGACTGGGAAGGGAGCTGGATAGAGTGAGTGGTGTCCAGCTGCACATGAGGAACAACGGATGAAAGAGTTCGCAGGCCCGCCCTGCACCTACCAAACCAGAATCTCTGGCCCAGGTCATCTTGATGGAACCCATCCAGAAGTTGGCTGCCTTTGGGAACAGTTGCCTGAGTGGCCTCTAAATACTTCTCCAGCTTTAAGAGAGTGTTACTGCTAGATCCCCCAGCACTGGGACACAAATCTTTGTCTCTGGACTTTTGGCCTCCTTTCTGGCTGTAAGCCCCGTGGCTTTCAGTCTTGGCTGGACTTTTTGTTTGGGACATAATTGAGACTTCATTGTGTGAAGGGGCAACCAGATATTTAAATGGGGTGCCACCAGCTCTGAATCAGATTACCACATCAAGATTTTAAAAATGTCAGCTGCAGTGTCGTAAAGTAGAGGTCACAATGTTGGAGTCAAGACAGATGAGGAAGATCTGCCTTAGGTAGAATCAGGTTAGGCAAGGACAAACAAAGTAGCGCTTTGGCCAGATTGTTACTTTTTGTAGTAACGGTCATAAGGTGAAAATACAATGCACCTTCCCTAGAGGTAAGTCTCCTCTACTGGGAGTGGGGTGGGTGAGGGCATCAGCTTCCTTTAAGGACAGGAACATCCCTGTTGGACTCAGTACCAGACTGCAGTGAGGGCAGCTCTCAGGGCTGGCAGCCACACATCTTCACCATCCACCTTTCCGTGTGCTTGTCTCTCTTTGGGATTCACACTGTCAGAAGCGTTTCTGTCATTTACTTGTAACCAGCCCTGCTTTATTGTACAAGTACTTCATTTCTGTTGTGTTGGAAGACTTTAGGTCACTTCAAGAAAATCACTTGGGTTGAAGAGTGTTCTAGCCACTGGTGTGGCAGTTTGCATAGTGGAGTCACTGACTTTTTTTTTTTATAACATCTTTATTGAGATGTAATTCACATACCATAAAATTAACCTACTTAAAATGTTCAAATCAGTGATTTTTAGTATAATGGCCAGTTTTGCAGTAATTACCACAATCTAAGTTTAGAACATTCTTGTCACTGTCACCTTTCTTTTTAGTTGAAGTGAAATTCGCATAACATACAATTAACCATTTTACAGTGCACAGTTCAGTGATATTTAGTGTATTCACAGTGTTGGGCAACCACCAGGTCTCTCTGCTTTCAAAACTACTTCATCATCCCGTAAAAGCAAGGTGTTTGCCTTGTACCGATTAAGTAATCACTCTCATTTTCCCCTCCCACACAAATGTTCAACAGATGAGTGGGGCTGGACGTGGTTGCTCATGCCTACTCATTTCAGCGTGCACTTTGGGAGGCTAAGGTGCGAAGACTGAGGCCAGGAGTTCAAGACCAGCCTGGAGAATGTAGCAAGATGTTTTTTCTACAAAAAGTAAAATAATTAGTCAGGTGTGATGCACACCTGTAGTCCTAGCTACTTTGGGAGGCTGAGACGGGGGATCACTTGAGCCCAGGAGTCTCCAGCCTGGTCGACGTACTGAGATCGTGTCTTTATATTTAAAAAACAAAAAATCAGATGAGTGGGCAGCAAGTTGTGGTATATACATATGTAATCAACTGGTAAAAAGAACCGTGTACATATATATACTGCAACTTAGATGGGCCTAGAAAACCACACGGAATGAAAGAAGCTAGTCATGAAAGGACACGTATTGTATGATTCTGCTTATGTGAAATGCTTAGAATAAGCAAATCACCATGAATTTTCACAGAGCTTTCGAACTCCAGCTCTGAGGGCTCTAGGTCTGGGCATCCTCCCCTCCCTCCTCTTGCTCTTGGCAGGCAGCGCTTCTAATGGTGACTGCAGCCATAGAGTCACATCTGGCTCTCAGTCGCGCTTTTTCAGCCCTTGCGTTGTCTGTGGGAAAGCCGCTTGAGCCTTTCCCTGCCCACTTTCCTCATTTGTGAAAGAGAGAGAGACCTGGTTCCATCTGGTTGCCCACGTAAAGCGCATTTCTTGGCACACTCTCATTTTGACTGTTTGCCATTCCTCTTTTCCTGGCCCTTACTCCTTTCCCTGCTGCAGACCTCTCAGGTTGCCTGAGCCTGCCATTGTGTCAAGTCATAGTTCTGTGCTTTGTAGACATTTTTATGCCTGTGGTGCTTATACCCTTGACTGATGTAAGTCAGTCACATTAGAAGAAGATTATTTGGTCCTGGGGTTTGGAGACAGGACTGGGAGGGAGAGGTTGACCTGACTTTTCCCTTCATTCTCACCTGCCCTCTTCTAGGAACTTGGGCTCTCTTGGCCTCTCCCTGCTTGGGTCTGTGGCATTTTGTTTGGGTTTGTACGGCCTGGACCACCTCCTTTCCCAATAAAAGGGGTAAGGACTGTCTATGTGGCATTTTTACCTGGCCTCAGGTGTACGGGGTGAGCTCTGAACCCCTTACGAGTGAAGAGGAGGAAGTTAGGGACAAAATTCATTTTTGGAAGATTATTAGAAGAAGAATAGACACAGAATTCTCATCAGCAAAGGGAAATGCCAAAGGAAGAAGGCAGTGGTTAACACTGCCCTCGGGCCTGTTCTGCTCTGGAGGAGGAAACCGCAGGAGAAACCGGGCCTTGCCTTGATCACTGTGCTTGGAAATGTCCTCACCTGGGTCCAGTTTCAGTGTTTAGAAGCTCTGCTTTCCATGTAACTGCAGGATATGATTCAACCAAGCTTTCTACGACTGTGTTACAGGATCCACTTTGCTCCAGTTTCCAATCCCATGCTCCTGACCTCCTTCCACACCCTCCCCAGCAGTGCCAACAGTCTTTGTGCCCAGTTAGGTGTTCTCCAAGGCGATGGTTTTTTCCTGCTATGCTCCTCTCTTCCTTCTGAGACCTCATGAGCCGAGTCTTTTAACATCCATAGTTTTACTACTGTGTTCAAGGAAGTCTAGGCTTTTTCTGTGCTGCTCCTCAAAATTCTTCCTTCCTTCACCCACAACTCTATTCCAAAGCTACTTCCACATTTTTTTAGATATTTGTTACAGCAACACCCCACTTCTAGGGTGCTGGAAACTAGTTTATTAGAAAACTGTTAATTTTTATGGCTGCCATTAAGAATTTACCACACAATGAGTGTCCTGAACAACACAAATTTATTATATAATAGTTTCGTAGGTCAGAAGTCCTGGGCAGGTCTCGCTGTGTTAAGATCAGGGTGTCAGTAGGGCTTTGTTTCTGGAGGCTCTGGGGAGACTCTGTTTCCTGCCCACTCAGGTTGGTGGCAGAACCCAGCACTCTGCAGAGGTGCTGTCCACGCGAGGGACACTTTGTGAAAGCTGCTCCCTCTTCTTCCCCTTGGTCTTTCGTTTGTCTTATTTCCACCTACCCCAGTAGAAATAGAGGGATTTATTTTCTTTTCTGCTTTATTCGTTTGTTAAAATCATGCATGTTCAGGAAGTTACCCTGTCGAACACCTCGTTTCACACTGGGGGAAACTGTGGGTTTTGGAGTGGAGAAACTGGCCTGCAGTTAGTTCCCTGGCCGGTTGTTGGGAAAGAGGACTTGGCCTATATGTTTCTACACCATATCCGGAACAGAGTTTAACACGTCTGAGCGGCAGAAGACTACACTTCTGTCAAAAATCAAACCCTGCCCCCTTAAATCAAGTCTGTTTTGTTAAGTGTGAGTCTTTTTCCTTTGTCAACACTTTAATTTTTTTGATGAAAGAAAAAAATTCGACCTTAGGAACTCATGATTTTATTTGTTTTAAGTTAATATTAATGTCAAGCATTTAGTATATTTGAGTTCAATTCATGTAAGCTAGTAATGATCCTATGAGTTTTATTAGTAGGAAGAGGCCAAATGTTTTCACTTGTTTGCCAGGTGAGAAATACTGTATTTGAAGATTGGTTCAGAGATATTTAAGGCACTACTGGTCATTTGTCCAAAAACTTCACCCAGGATTCCCAGGGAAGCTTTCACAGCTTCCCAAGGGTTTAGGAGTGGTGACTTTGAATTATAATTTTATAGATCCTGTGTAGATAACTGTCAGTATCTGTCAGACTTCTATTAGGTTGAAGAGCTGGGATTTCCTTTTGATTTCTTAAAAGTAGGTTGGGAAAAGTGATTGGGGAATTGGATCCTCAGGAAGTTGTTCTGTTTCCATTTCTTTCAAGAATTTAGTTGTCTCTTTTATCTGTGAGAATCTTAGGGCTGCACAGTACTGAGTGTTGCTGCTTTGAATCCATGCACGGGAAATCGTAGATTTTGAGATTTACCCACCTTTTCTGTGGATGAGTGTGTATCATTTACATCATTAGAACTCTTTTTCCCCATGACATTTTGTGTTCATCAGTTCTTTGAGTTTGCCTTCTTTAAAACCCTGCTAGAGGATTCAAGATCTGGAAAGTAACTGATCCAACGTATCCCACACAGGGGAAGCTGGAAGATTAAAAAGAAGAACAACAACAAAAGTGTGTTTGCCAATCCTAGCAAACAGTGCTGAAGTTTAATCACAGGCCAGAGGTCGGCCACCTTGCAGTGGAGAAACTGGATGAGTGTCCCTGCTCCTGCTGGGAGGGCTTTCGGACCGGCCAACCTTGTCACTGTCTGAGACTCCGCTGATTGCTTTTGTATCTTTTATTTCTGGCAGCTCCTTTAGCGGCAGAGTTTTCCGAGTGACCTTCTTGATGCTGGCTGTTTCTCTCACTGTTCCCCTGCTTGGAGCCATGATGCTGCTGGAATCTCCTATAGATCCACAGCCTCTCAGGTAGGCTGCCCCGCAGTCCTCAGGAGGGGTTGCTTGACAAAACGTAATAGGCTGAAATAATTCCCAAGGAAAGGAGGGTGATTAAATCAGTCTGATCTGAAAGGTAAGTTAGGAGAAATGCAGTTTTGTGATTCTTTAGTACTTGGGTTTTTATGCTGAATTAGATGTTACTCAGGAAATATGCATGGTATTTTTCCTGTCATTGTTTTAAAAAAACTGCATAAACCAAAAACAAAAATTCAGAATTAGAGAAGCTTAATAATCATTAGAGACAGTCAACCATAATTCATTTCAAGTAGCAAAAATACACATGAATGGAGCTTCAGTTACCTCATTTAAATTTTATAAGTAACTGATACAAAACCTATAATTAGTGTTCATTTTTTCCTGAGTTACCTTTCACCAATAGAGACCTATGAGTAATGCAGTCCATTATAATTTGAAAAAAGTATTGTATATGTAGGGCCCCCTGAAATAGATTCGTGTTTATAACTATAGTGTACAGAGCCAGGCTCTCACCAATGTGACGATCTGTGACTTCCATGTTGACCTAGTTGCAGGAGGGTTGTACTGTCTGATTCAGTAATTTCCTGGTTCCCCTTGCAACTGCTGATGGGGTGAAGCCATCTGAAGCTTATTGTAAATGAGTTAGTCCATGTAAGGCTTGAAAAACTTCAGAAAAGAGTCATATCTAGTTAAAGAGTAAATATAACATACTAACTGAATAGTGTCTTATCCATAAAAATTAAGGCTTTATATTGGATCCAATTCACTAAGAATGTAGAGGACACGGTTCTGACCTTAGATTGACATGTGTAGCTGAGTGAACTTTTTGTTGTTGGATTTAGAATAGTGAAGGCACAAGGTGCTGTAAACACACAATTTGCTCATTAGGATTGAGAATGGGTGAAGGACTGGGGACTCTAGTCAGCCCCAGGAATGTCAGCTCTGTAATTACTAGTGTGCTAGTGGATCCTCAGATGCATTTTTCTGCCTGAGCCAGGCCTGAGGACATCCTGTCTCCAAAGGAGGGGCGTCGGGCGGATGGGGGGGGTGGTCCCCTGATGTGTTGAGGGAGGGGCTTCTCTCTTTCTAACCCTTCTCAACAGAGCAGGATGGCTCATTCTACCCAAAGAGAAACTGACCTGGGCCTTCTTAGATAGTCCAGTTGGCTAAGGTGGGGGAGTGAACTGTATCTGCAGTTGGGGATTAGAAGCTTGGGTTGGGGGGCTGGCCTTGGAAAAGGAGGCTGAGGTTGAGTTTTGAGTTGGAGAGAGAGGTTGGAGCCTCAGTGATTGCAGACCTTTGATCTCAGGAAAGATGAAAGTATATGTGGAAAGAGTGGTGAAGAAATGCACTGGGAAATGGGTTATGTAGCCTTGGCCAGACACTGAAAGGAGGCAGGGGCCACTGGGGATTGCAAGTTGTTTGTACAAAGTGAGTTATGATTGTTGAGTAGAAGAGCCTGATGAGGAAGGAAAGGAAGAGAAGCAGTGGAACCATCGTAGCCAAGAGGGACCTCTCTCCTGGGCTCAGCTTTCGGAATGGCAGTGGAACCATCACAGCCAACAGGGACCTCTCTCCTGGGCTCAGCTTATGGCAGTGGAACCATCGCAGCCAACAGGGACCTCTCTCCTGGGCTCAGCTTATGGCAGTGGAACCGTCGCAGCCAACAGGGACCTCTCTCCTGGGCTCAGCTTTCGGAATGGCAGTGGAACCATTACAGCCAACAGAGACCTCTCTCCTGGGCTCAGCTTTCGGAATGGCAGTGGAACTGTCGCAGCCAACAGGGACCTCTCTCCTGGGCTCAGCTTTCAGAATGGCAGTGGAACTGTCACAGCCAACAGGGACCACTCTCGTGGGTTCAGTTTATGGCAGTGGAACCATCGCAGCCAACAGAGACCTCTGGGCTCAGCTTTCAGAATGGCAGTGGAACTGTCACAGCTAACAGGGACCTCTCTTCTGGGCTCAGCTTTCGGAATGGCACACTCAGAAACAGGAAGATAGGCCCCAAAATACAGAGCAGAAGCAGAAGCCTGTTACGTGACAGAGCTTGGTGTGTCTCACACAGGTACACGGGCCGTGACACAGACTGTGCCCCATGCATGCCATCCCACCGGGTGCCAACTCAGCTGCAGCCCTCTCAGCCCACAGTCACTCTGTGGAAGGACATGGTTTCTCTCCAGAAGGGAACAAAAAGTTTATTTTTCATAGAAGGATATGGATGTTTCCAGTCACTGAAAAAATATCAGTTAAAGTCAAATTTATGGTAAAAAAATAATAATAATAGAGCAGCATTTTGGAGAATGGATTTGGTCTTTATGAAGCATGAGGCCGGGCCATCAGGTATGAAACGTGGGCACTGCCCCCCACCACCCTAGGTGGACTGCGGTGGCTGTAGGGCTATGTGAGTCACAGGGGTGAGGAGGTCCAGCTGCCCTGAGGCGTTGGATGGGGGTGGGGAGCTGGGGAGGCTGGAGGGTGGGTGGGCACAGGCCCCAGGATGTTCTCAGGTGACAGGACTGCTGAAGGCCTTGCACTAGCACATTTATATTTTTATATTTCTTTTGACCGTGACATTTCCTGATATCCTAAAACAGTTTTTTCTTAACCCTTCTATTTCTGGCAACTGAGGATGTTGTTAGAAAGTGCCATCTTTATCAAAGAACCGAGAGTAGGTGCTTGGTACAGGTTTTCTTCACATGTGTATTTATGGACAAATCTCTGGAACTGCATTATTTTGCAGCTTCAAAGAACCCCCGCTCTTGCTTGGCGTTCTGCATCCAAATACAAAGTTGCGACAGGCAGAAAGGCTGTTTGAAAATCAGCTTATTGGACCGGAGTCCATAGCACATATCGGGGGTAAGTCTGAGCTGGGGGCCCTTCCAGGCTGTCTGTTGTCTGAGGGGGCGGGTTCTGTGGGAGCAGCTGCAGTGGCACACTGCCCCTGGACTGGGGCGCTGCACATCCTTCTTAGCTGCGGACATGGGGCTTGGACCCCAGACATCACGTGGGAGGCCCTAGTGCCTAGTGGCTCTTTCTGCTGGTCTCATCTGCGCACGTTGCATGCCGTTTTAGCACTTGGTGGTTTTCAGTTCATCTCTATGGAGCACTTTGTTGTGCTCAGAGTGTTGTGAAAGGAAAAAGGCCAAATACAGATACTGATGTTTAGTTTATTTATCAAAGTTAAATAGGTATTTGACAGCACAGCATTTCTTAGTTCCCTTTGCTTTGTATAGATTTCACTGTGAAGTGAAGACAAATGGTTCTCAATATTTCCACTGTTTTTTTGTCTGTCTGAAAGTTCACTTTGATGGGTACATTTAAGGATAACCATCTGCATCACACTTGCCCACACCTCAGAGCTAGAATTGGGTCTGGTTCGAATACTTGCATCTCTAGCAACCTTGAGCAAGGCATTTTCTGTTTGTGAAAATGAGAATTAAGTTTCGTATTGGAAAGGCACAGATAGTCACAGATAATTTAAAACTTAATCTGGTATGGGCTTGCTGAGCAGCTTCTTTGGAAGTGCCGCTTGTTATTCCGAAACACACTCTGTTCTCCAGGCAGTAGGTGGCTGTGGATGTGCACACAGGGTGCTTCTGTTGTGCTCTCAAGGCCGGTCAGTGGCCTCTCTTCCAGTGACGTTTGACCAGCTTCTTTTGCCCAGGCCCTGCTATTTGACACAGGCCCCAAGGACTGGTCCATTTCTGCAGTTGGTTTGTTTTCTTGGCTGTCAAAGTCATAATTGTTTCAAGAAGAGTAAATATCATGATAGAACTTTGCATTTCTCTTAAAAAGACATTGGCATTTATTTGTGTAAATTTTATAAGCTTTAGCTTTTTTTGGTGAAAAATCAAATATTGCTATTTAAAACTGAAACTTAACAGCAGTTGAAGTGCAAACCAATGATCTTACCTCCCAAAGAGAGCACTTTCCTGCCTTTTTCCTTTTCACTGGGATTACTTCTCATTGTACTTTGCCATCAGGTCCCAGCTTTTTCTCTTTCTTTGGTGAGCTGGTGACATTTCTTGGCCAGGCACAGTGGGGTCCTTTCTGGTGGGTGTGAGCCCCTGGGAGGCGCCCAGGGACCTGCCGCTGCTATCTCTGCCACCTCATTTGGAAGCTGCCCTGGGGGCTGGCTGGCAGGTTGCTGACAGTGGAGGGAGGTACTAACTCTGGGGAGTGCTGGGAGAGAGCAATCACCAGTTATAGCAGGCTTTATTTTTAAGAGCAGTCTTAGGTTCACAGCAAAATTGAGCAGAAGGTACAGAGATTTTCTGAAAAAGAGTTTTTATTATGATTGGGTGTTGCATTTCATCAAATGCTTTTTCTGCACACACGCCATGCACAGCTTCCCGCATGATCAACATCCCCCACCACAGTGGCACGTTTGTTACAACTGATGTACCCACATCAATACGTCATTATTACTCAGAGTCTGTAGTTTACAGTAGGGTTCACTCTTGGTTTTATACATTTTATGGGTTTGGACAAATGCCATGTATCCACCATTATGGTATCATACAGGGTGTTTTCACTGCCCTGAAAATCCTCTGTGCTCTGCCTGTTCATCCCATCCTCTAATTTTAACCCATGACAACCACTGATCTTTTTGCCATCTCCATAGTTTTGCCTTTTCCAGAATGTTATGTAATTGGACTCATACAGTATGTAGCCTTTCCAGATTGGCATCTTTCACTTAGTAGTATGCATTTATTTAAAGTTCCTCCATGTCTTTCCATGGCTTGATAGCTCATTTCTTTTTAGCACTGAATAATATTCCATTGTATGAATGTGCCACAGTTTAGTTACCTACTGAAATACATCTTGGTTGCTGCTAAGTTTTGCCAGTTATGAATAAGGCTGGAACAGACATCTGTGGGCAGGTTTTTGTGCGGACCTCAGTTTTCAGCTCATTTGGGTAAATACTGAAAAGCATAATTGCTGGATTGTGTGGTAAGAGTTAAGTTTTGTAAGAAACCACCAAGCGTTTCCAAAGTGGCTGTACCATTTGCCTTCTCATTAACAATTAGAGTTCCTGATGCTCCATGTCCTTGCCAGCATTTGGTGGTGTCAGTGTTTTGGATTGTGGCCCTTTTAATAGGTGTGTAGTGGTGTCTCATTGTTTTAGTTTGCATTTCTCTGATGACATTTGATGTGGAATATCTTCATATGCTTAACTGCCATCTGTATATCTTATTTGGTGATGTGCCTGTTCAGGCCTTTTGCCCGTTTTTGTAATTGGGTTGTTCATTTTCTTATTGTTGAGTTTTAAGAGTTGTTTGTGTATTTTGGATAATAGTTCTTTATCAGACATGTCATTTGCAAATATTTTCTCCCAGTCTGTGGCTTCTCATTCTTTTGACAGTATCTTCTGCAGAGCAAGAATTTTTAATTTTAATGAAGTTTCGCTTTTTATTTCTTCATGTATCTCACCTTGGTGTTATATCTAAAAATTCATCATCATACCCCAGGTGACCTAGATTTTCTCCTATGTTATCTTCTAAGAATTTGTTTTGTATTTTACATTTAGGTCTGTGATCCAATTTGAATTCCATTTTTGTGAAGGGTATAAGGTCTGTGTCTAGATTTGTTTGCCTGTAGATGCAAACAAATTTGTTCCAGCACCATTTGTGGAAAACGCTGTCTTTTCTCCATTATGTATTGCGTTTACTCCTTTGTCAAAAGATCAGTTGATTATATTTATATGGGTCTGTCTCTGGGATAAAAGTTTTATCTGTTCCATTGATTTATTTTTCTATTCTTTTGCTAATACCACATTGTCTTGATTACTGTAGCTTTATAGTGAATCTTGAAGTTGAGTAGTTTCAGTCCTCTGACTTTATTCTTTTCCTTCAATGTTGTGTTGGATATTTTGGGTCTCTGCCCTCTCCGTATGAACTTTAGGATTAATTCATCTGTATCTGCAAAATAACTTGCTGGGATTTTGATTTTGATTACATTGAATCTATAGATTAAGGTTGGAAAAAACTGACATCTTGACAGTATTAAGTCTTCCTATCCATGAACATGGAATATCTCTCCATTTATTTAGTTCTTTGATTTCTCTCATCAGAATTTTGTAGTTTTCCTCGTATAGACCTTGTGCATATTATGTTATATTTATACCTAAGTATGCCATTCTTTTGGATGCTAATGTACATAGTGTTGTGTTTTCAATTCCAAATTTCATTTGTTCATTGTTAGTATAAAGGAAGGTGAGTCAATATCTTGCAATATCCTGCAACCTTGCTATAATTGCTTAGTTCCAGGAGGGTTTGTTGTTGTTGTTGATTCTTTCAGATTTTCTACCTAGACAATTATGTCACTTGCAAACAAAGAGAGTTTTATTTCTTTCTTCCCAATCCGTGTACCTTTTGTTTCCTTTTCATGTCTTGTTGCATTAGCTAGGTCTTCCAGTGTGATAGTGAAGAGGGGTAGTGACAGGGGCATCTTTGCCTTGTTCTTGATCTTAGCAGGAAAGCTTCTAGTTTGTCATCCAGAAGTATGATGTTTTATGTAGATTTTTTAATAGATGTTCTTGATCAAGTTAAGACAGTTTTCCTCTACACCAGCTTGCTGAGAGCTTTTAATCGTGAATGGGTGTTGGATGTTACTAGATGCTTTTTTCTGTATCTGTTGATATGATCATGTGATTATTCTTGTTTAGATTGTTGAAGTCTCTGTGATAGTGGATTCTGTTTCTCCTTGCAGTTTCATTAGTTTTTGCCTCACATATTGGTGCTCTGTTGTGAAGCATATACACATTAAAGGTTCTTATGTCTTTCTGAGGAATTGACCCCTTTGTCATTGTGTGATGCTCCTCTTTATCCCTGATAACTTTCCTTGGTGTGAAGTCTTCTCTGTCTGAATTTAATACAGCTACTCTGGCTTGCTTTTGGTTAGTGTTAACATGATGTACTTTCTTTATCCCTTCACTTTTAATCTATATATGTCTTTATATTTAAAGTGGGTTTCTTGTATACAACATAGAGTTGGATCTTGTTTTTTGAATAATTCTGGCAATGTCTCTCTTTCATTTGGTATATTTAGACCATTTATGTTTAAGGTGATTATTGATATATTGGATTAATATCTACCATATTTGTTACTGTTTTCTATTCTTTGCCCTTATTCGTGTTTCTGCTTTTGCATTCTACTCTCTTTTTGTCTTTTGTAGTTTTAAACCGAGTGTTTTATATGATTCCATTTTCTCTCCTTTGTTAGCGTATCAGTTATACTTCTTTTTTTTTTTACTTTTTATAGTGGTTACCCTTGAGTTTACTATATACATTTGAAAACTATGGAATGTTTTATGAATTTGTGTATCATCATTGCTCAAGGGGCATGCTGATCTTCTCTGTATCATTCTAATTTTAGTATATGTGCTGCTGAAGTAAGTGCTTCATGTGCTATAATTTTCTCCTAAAGGATTTCTGGCAGTTCTTTCCCTTTAGTTGGATATAATCAATATCAGTAGCAGACACTGATGTGAGGTGAATATAAACTCATGCCCCTAAGTACTGAGTGTCAGCTTGAGTGCTTCAGGACTGGAGAAAATCCTCACAGTTCTCATCACTGACGAGTGTCTGCTGCACCCTTGCTCTCGAGTCCAGTTCACACCCACAGGCTGCTTCCCTAGGCCCCCGCAGTTTTATCGCTGTAAGTTTTAAGGATTTTTTGTATTCCCAGAAATTGCTTCTCTTTCGTCTTCAGAATTGGCATTTCCTCTAGAGGGGCAGGGGGAACACATAAATAAGCCCTCTTATAGGAGAAGGTGGGTTAGTCACAGTTCTTAGGCTAACATTGCTCTTCCTCCTTTTTGTGTGTTTAAACAGATGTGATGTTCACTGGGACAGCAGATGGCCGGGTTGTAAAACTTGAAAATGGTGAAATAGAGACCATTGCCCGGTTTGGTTCGGGTCCGTGCAGTAAGTTGGTGATAATCCCCTGACGTGTCTCTTCCAGTCTTTCAGAAAGATGTCGGATCACTCTGTGGAACTGCTTTTCCCTAGAATGCCTGTAGGAGAAAAAGAACCTCTGACCATCTAGTAGATGGAACATGACGTCACCATGAGCTCTTCATTTCCCTGGTGGTCCTTGGGCCTCATGGTGCCTGATGGTCACCTGCAGTCCCCATTTTGCAGCTGGGAAGTGGCCGTGGCCCCTGCTTGGTACTGCGTGGGCCTTGCCCCTCACTGTTTTACTGGGGTCCCTGTTTACCTTTGCAGTACTTCAGAGGCTAATAGGTGTTATCACAGTGCTGCTGTGGAAAAGCAGGTGGCCTTGTCATTACTCGGATGTGTAAGTGTTATTTTGCCTTGGTCTCAGGAATTTCAGCCCTGTAAGTGAGAATACCCTTAAGTCATTCAAATTTTGGAAAACTAGAGTAGTAGACTCACTGTTTAAAACTGATAGTCTATAGACCTAATGGTTACCATTTTTTAATAGCTGGAATGTTTTTATTAAAATGATGCATTTTAATAAACACAAACAACACAAAGGTACAAAGGAGAAAATAAAAATCACCTTAGTCTTTTCAGATGTAATTATTATGAACATTTTAGTGGTTTACTTTTCAGACATCTTTTTGTTCATAGACATCCACACCCACACGTATGATGGAATTATACTCTATATCAGTTCTTTAACCTACCTTTTTCCATGCCATTTTGGCAGTAAGCACCCTGCAGTGAGCATCCCCCAGTGAACACCCTGCAATAAGCATTTGCAGTGAGCATCCATGGTGAGCACCTACAGTAGCACCTGGAGTGAGCACCCATGGTGAGCACCCTACAATAAGCACCTGCAGTGAGCAGCCCACAGTGAACACCCTGCAGTAAGCACCTACAGTGAACACCTATGGTGAACACCTGCAGTGGTACTTGCAGTGAGCACCCCACAGTTAATGCCCTGCAAAAGCACCTGTATTGAGCACCCTGCAGTAAGCACCTGTAATGAGCACTTCACAGTGAACACCCTGCAATAAGCACCTGCAGTGAGCACCCCACATGAATACCCTGCAGTAAGCACCTTCAGGGAGCACCCCACAGTGAACACCTT